CAGAGGCCAGGGTTTGGAGCCAAGATTAAAGGCTGGATGAGTCATCTGCCATGGTATGGCAATGCCTCTGTTCTCACGTCTGCGCAATCAAATCTCAAACTGATTTCTCCTTCTCATTTTTTTTCTTCTCTTTTTGGCAAGAGAGAAAATAACTTCAGTATTCTTTTTTAGGAGGATAAAAAAAAAGGAACACCATTCTATTTCCCAAAATTGCATATAGAATTTCAAAGAGTGACCTCTTCCCAGATATAGCAAAACTTATGGTGGCAATGGGAATGTGTCACCTTTTGAAGCATGAAAGCATTAGATCCCCAGGCCTGCCCATTTCTTCATTGTACTTTTGGAGAATGTTAGGATTAGGAGTAAAGGAGTATTAAATATAATACCATCTTCCCCAGAGAGTAATTAATATTTCTGGCCATGCAGACTGTCACGTGGTGTGTCACAGTGGCAATAAGTGAATGACGAGAAGACAGACTCCAGGGATACTGAGATGTTCAAAGCCTTGCTTTTGTCACAGTTGGCCGATTAAGTCATTTTTAGAATGTGGACTTCTCAGGGGCAGAGGTTTTTTCTTTCATATTAGATATACTCTTTTCCCCACACTGTTCAGTTACATAATAGGATAAGTGCATGTACAAAGTCATGCCTTTTTAGTATAAAACACAGAATCATATCCTTCATTTCTGAAGTTATAGTTATTCATGATATTACTAATTTTGGACACAGCAAATAAGACATTGCCAGAAGTACTTTCCAGGCAGAATAAATATGTAGCTTTCTCTTAGTCGAGTTTGTTAAATATAGCTTTGATCCCCCCACCCTCATGAACTGTATGGTAGTTTTCTTGTAATTTACCACACTATCTTTAAATGTTAGACTCCAGATAATTCTGTATTGTGCACTTATATTTTCCAGATTTTTCCTGGCTTTGTGGCCTGGCCTGAAATTGTGTACCTCTCTCTCCTTTGACCTGTTCTGCTTGCAGTGTTTCACTTCAGTTCATCAGATAGCACCTGGTTAGGAGGCCTTCTATCATCCATTCCCCACACATCCGCCTGGCCTCTGCACCGCAGAGCTGGCTGCCCTCCAGAACCTCATCCTGGAAGCAGCTGCCCTCACAGGAAAAGATGAGTTTGGTTCATCTGTGAACATTTTCAAAGAGTTGGACTCAATGTCACAAATAGGTCAAAGCCTCAGTCACATTTAAAGTGTGACACAATGGCATCCTTAAAAATATTTAACTTCCCTGGCAGCACTGTGTCATTAGAAGAATAGAAACCTTGACAATAGGCAGATGTATTTTGGAATCTCTGCTTCATTGTCTTTCTATCTATATAATATAAATACTAACCTTTAAACTTCTAAGCACATTACCTGTCACATTAAAGTAGGCTCTTGGAATAAATTTTGGTTCTCTCTAAAAGTCTATCAAATGTTTACCATGAGAAAGGCCAGTTTGGTTCATGGAATACCAGGTGGTACCAAATTATAAAGAAGTGAATGATCAGGGTGCTCAGAGGGGATTTTGGTAAATTCTAAGCTGAAATGCAAGATAGAATAAGAAAAATGCCACATTGGAAATTTAGGGAAATGAGAGTTCAGAGGAGGGATGTATTACCCTTAGTGGGAGTAAAATGAAAAACTTCATGACAGCAATAGCAATTGAAATAAAATGTGAAGAAATCCTTCCCTTTCCTTACATACTAGTGCCCATGATTTGGACTTTGCAGGTGTAGACAAAAAGATATTTTAAGTGATGAGAAATAAGTGAACAAATGAAGTTAATATAGGGCATGTTTGAGAAGTATCTAATAGTCAAAGTTGGCTAGAACAAAGTGCCCATTAAAAGGAAGGTAGGAGATAATTTTGAAAGCTAGATTATGCCATATGTTGGAGGATCTTAGATTTCACCTGCATGATGAGAAGCTAGGCCTATGAAGGAAGAAAGCCCTCACCATCAATCAGGAATCGAAGGCTCTTTTCTGACTCTGCCACTACCTGTAAGGAATGGCAGAGCATCTAGGTTCTATATCTAGGTTCTGGGGTCAAGTCTCAGTTTCCACTTATCAACTCTGACATTGAACAAGTTACTTTGCCTTTCTATCTTCAATTTGCTGACTTGTAAAATGAGAGGATTAGACTAGACCATGTCTTTTGAAGTATAAACTTATTTGTTTATAAATTTGGTTGCTAGAAAATAGCAAACGTTTTTCACGAAAACTTGTTTTTCAAAAAGTGGGAATGTTTAAAAGCTTCCAGATGAAATAACTGGAGAATTTTTATTTTCTATGCCAATGCTAAGTACATGGTTTAAAGTGAGAGTTCTAGTACTACTATCCAGGGCAGTCTGAAGGAGAGAAAAATCCAATAAAGACAAAGTTATTTGAGTTTGGGCCTACTTAAAATGAGAATTTGAAGAAAGGTAGTGACTTATTTTTAAAGAGAGGAGTAATTATGAGAGATATTGCAGCAATAACAATAAAAAGACTTGGAACCTGATTGAATATCAGTTCTAAAGCTAAGAAGCATAGAAAGTATTGCTCTTTTTAAAGAAAAACGTACATGTTTTTTATATTGTCATACAAGTGATCTGATTTAGTCATTACTTTTATTTAGTTCTGTATTACTCAGAGAGTTTCAATGCATGTAGTTTCCAGTGATATAGATTAGCACATGCTATTGATCTAATAAATATTTATTGTGGACCTAATATGTGATAGATACTTTTCTAGGTATTGGAGACATAGCAGAGGACTAGGCAGACAAGGTCCTTGTCCTTGTACAGCTTCATTCTACAACTGAAAATGGAAGAGAAAGACAACAAACAAATGAAGAAAACAGTAGCTATAAAAACGTGTGATGAGAAAGATGAACAAGATTGATGTGATGGGAATATCTCAGATGCTTGGGAAGACTTCCCTGAGAAGGGCGCATTTGGGTTGAGAGTTGAATGATTGAAGGAGCCAGCAGCATGGAGCAGCAGAGCAAGAACTTTCCAGGCAGAGGGAACACATACAGTGCAAAGGCCCAAGGGTGGAGCTATGCTTTGGTGTGTATCAGGAATTGAAAGAAGCCAGCCTGCCAAGGGCATAATGAGCTTGGGGGAGAGTTGTCAGAGATGAGACGATGAGAATATAGGTGTTAGTTCACAGCACGGTGCCAACTGCAACAGCTCATTTGTAATCTCTTCTCAGCCTTGTTGCAACTTTATAGCCCAAGAAATAACATCCTTCATAGCAGAAATAATAAAACCACATTTACTCCCTTTTTTCATACCAACACTAGGAAAATGTTTAAACTCCCAGTTTTTCAGGGGAATAAATTAGGTCTCAAAGTTGTTCAACTACTTGCTCAAGGTCACACAGCTTGTAAATGGCACAAATGCAACTCAAATCAGGTCTTATGATTCCAGGACCAGAGAAGTTTCCACTTCCCACGGTGTCACTTTCCCTTCTTATGTAATCTTAAAAGAACAAACAGGGAGTTACTGACCTTTTATCAGAAAACTGGCAGGAGAAGCATCTGTAACTGAGGATAGACATTTCAACCAAATAGCAGTGAAAGAGTCCCCTGCTTATGGCTGACAACCTGACACACACTTTCCTGCAGCTGGTTTAGAAGTAGAGAGGTACAAAGGAGTACCTATTGGCAGAGAATGCACAGAGTGATTATGTACTTATTTTCCTTTCTGTGGGAGTCTGATAGCAGCCTTTTGCCTTTATAATGTCATGATTTGATGATTTTCTAACAAAATCAACTACATGTATCTGGGCTGGCTGAAATATGCCATAAGATATCGTGGCATTTTAAAGCAAACATGAATTGTGGTAAACAAGCTGGTATTTACTCATGGGCACTCTATTAGCTATTTCTGCACTTTGCCCCTCCATTAAGTTAACTTCCAGGCTGGGGCCATTAAAATCCAGCCTTCCTCCCTCAATTACAGGCACACATTAACTCTAGATATTCTGAGCCTTTCTAATACAGCCATTTCCAGAAAGGATTTCTATTAGTGTCTCCCTCCTTTCTGTTCTTATCCTAAGGCCCCTTAAGCTTCCTGCAACTTTCAGTTCTGAAAATGCCTATCTCAAAGCCAGTTAGGATCTCTGTTTATGATGCAACCCCAAATCCAGGCATCCGTTTAAACGAGTGCCCAGTTAGAGACACATTGTACTTCTCTTCTTTCAGAGAGCAGCATTTGCTTTTTGCTGGGGGCTTTCTGACTGATGCAGGGGGCGAGGAAGGAGAGTTGGCGGGCGTTTGGGAGCAGATTTAGAGCCGCTTCTCATTGGAGGGGCTCGCTTTTCCTGAGCTGCCAGACACTGCAGGCTCAACTGAGGCTCGGAGGTGCAATTCAGGCTGGTGGAGCAGCGGGGGAAGGCAGGGACAGGCGGGGCTAGCGCGGCTCTGCAGCTGATCACACGCACCACCACACACACCACATTCCTGCTGCCCCGGCTTGCGCCTCGCATCTTCCACCCGGGGCCACAGAGGCGCTGACAAGGAGTGGGGGACCAAAGAAGGAAGAGGCAGAGGAAAAGCTGGAGCGGCGCTACTGTTTAACCTGAAAGTCTGACCGGCAACCCGAGGCTCGAACCCCGTCCAGCAGCACCGCTGTCGCCTGGAAGGAGGGCACAGCGCCAGGGAACCCACGAGTCCCCCACTCGAGTCAGTCAGTGCTCTGTGCGCCAAGGATCTTTCTGGCAGGGACAGCGCGGTGCCCTCACGGAGGTGCGGAGCTTGGGGGACCTGCATTGGCGCCCATCGTGGTACACCAGGAAAAGTGGGAACGAGGAAAACAGCCGTGAGCGCAGAGTGCGAGGCCAGGCTGCCGCTACCGCCCGCCGCGCCGCCTCCTGCCCTCTCCCGCTGGGTGAGTGCCCAGGCTTCGCGCACTGCCGTGTCTCTGCTGAGCGCGGGGGCGGCCTGCGGGCCCTTGAGGGTCCGCCGGAGGGCCCCGGTGGCGTCCGCGGAAACTCGGCGGTCGGGGGACGCCAGGCGGACAGGTCACTGGAGTCCAGAACCCGGGAATCTGAGCCCGGAGGGCGTGGGTAGGGGGCGTTGCACCAGTGCCCGGCAGACATGCCTTTGGGCGGGATTTTGGCTAAAAGATAGGAGGCAGGTGCGCAGGGGTGCGGGGAGCGGTCCCAGGGGGCGGGAGATTGGGGAGCGGCGGGGAGGGGGGAGGGTCTGGTCCAGGCAGGTAGAGACAGCTTCTTAGGCAGCCAGCGAGTTGGCAGGTGGGTTGGGACTCCCTTGTCAACTCATTAATTTTAAGCAGTCAGTTTGGGGGCACTGCAGGATAATCAGGAGGGCCGTGGGGAGGCAAAAGGTGACCCGGGATGCCGGTGGTGGGGAAGGAAAAGAGGAGCCTTGGAAAGCTTGGAGGCAAAATTGCGCTTGGGCTCCGGGTCCTTGCATCCCTCCTGCCTTGAGTGCGGGAGAACACTTTTTCAAGACTCACCTTGGAAGGAAAGCCTCCGTCCCAGGGGAGAAGGAGAGGTGTCTGCAGGGGGCAGAGACCGCAGCTACCTGCCGGGTGCGCCCCCCACCCCAGGAGCGCTCGCTTCGCCCCCTTTCCTCCCCCGCCCCCACCTCCTTATTGGTGCTAGTTTGCAGCGCCCAGCTCCTGCGCCTTCGCTTCGCGTTTGAATCTGGCTCGCCCCTTCGTATTATGTCTGCACTCCGAAGGAAATTTGGGGACGATTACCAGGTAGTGACCACATCGTCCAGCGGCTCGGGCTTGCAGCCCCAGGGGCCAGGCCAGGACCCGCAGCAGCAGCTTGTGCCCAAGAAGAAGCGGCAGCGGTTCGTGGACAAGAACGGCCGGTGCAATGTACAGCACGGCAACCTGGGCAGCGAGACGAGCCGCTACCTCTCGGACCTCTTCACCACGCTGGTGGACCTCAAGTGGCGCTGGAACCTCTTCATCTTCATTCTCACCTACACCGTGGCCTGGCTCTTCATGGCGTCCATGTGGTGGGTGATCGCCTACACTCGGGGCGACCTGAACAAAGCCCACGTCGGTAACTACACGCCTTGCGTGGCCAATGTCTATAACTTCCCTTCTGCCTTCCTCTTCTTCATCGAGACCGAGGCCACCATCGGCTATGGCTACCGATACATCACCGACAAGTGCCCCGAGGGCATCATCCTCTTCCTCTTCCAGTCCATCCTGGGCTCCATCGTGGACGCCTTCCTCATCGGCTGCATGTTCATCAAGATGTCCCAGCCCAAGAAGCGCGCCGAGACCCTCATGTTCAGCGAGCACGCGGTGATCTCCATGAGGGACGGAAAACTCACGCTTATGTTCCGGGTGGGCAACCTGCGCAACAGCCACATGGTCTCCGCGCAGATCCGCTGCAAGCTGCTCAAAGTAAGTGCTCCCCGCCCCTTCCCCACCGGGAGACCTGCGTCCCCAAACCCGGGGAGGAACTCGCCTGAGAACCAGCCCGGGCCCCCTCCCCTGGTTCTACCTATCGTCACAGGTAAACTTCCTTTTGGGGGGTGGGGGTTGGAGGATTGGGCAAAGAACGCGGTTGACAGTTCTGTTCTTTTCCCACGCACTGTCGTGCTCTTGTTTATATTCGTCATTTCGGATGTGCTCGATCACTTTCTGGACTAGTAACACTTGAGGACTGGTGTTGGCTCCTGGAGGCTTGAGGGCAATTAGTGCCCGGTTTGCCTTCCTGTATTTGTTGCTTTGCTCTTCAGAGTGATTTTATTTGTTGTCGACACACTGCCCCATTCAATGCGAGGTCCTAGAACTCACCTGAACAGCTGTTATTTTGAATAATTAGGTGCTGAACTTGCCTCAACTTTCACGATGGGCTTTTCTTATTTTTTTCTTTCCTTTTTTTGACCCTAATAATATTAGGAGGCGGATTACTCCTCTACACCCAATGTTTTGAATTCTATCTTTTTAACAAACACACAGACCCAGGAAGCAGATAATAAAGTGGAAGAAACCACACTTGGCTCTTTTAAATTTTTATTTTTACCAAATATTTTCCTAGAGACCTGTTCTATGAAAGCTTGAGTGCTTTTCCCGTAGAGCCTCTTGTTAATTTTATTCTTAATTGTCTGTTTCTATGAAGGCTTTGTCAATTACAGATTTCACTTGAAGCTTTCAGCATCCATTAAAGAAGATTGCTTCCTACCATCAGCGGTGTAAATGCTAAAACAAATTGCACATGGAGTGGTTATTAAAGCAAGGTCCGTCTAGTCGTTAGAGGGCACCACCACAAACAAGAGAAGTCCTTCTTAATCACTCATCCAATTAGAGTATGGGAAGGAAGGCTTAAAGCGCAGTTGCTTGCCTCTGTGTGTGATTTACAATTCATATTCTTCCCCAGAGGTATTTTTCTCAGTAGTTTTCAGATGTTCATAAAGTGAAAAAGATGACCTTAAATAAATGGTTCATACAATGAAAAATGTTTTTCTGAGATTGCATAGAGAACTAAGCCAGATTCTGAAAATCTGATCTCAGTATTTGAGATTTTGCCTTTTAAATTTTAATTTCCACTCCACAAGTATATATTGTTTTATACAGCCCCAACTTAATGTTGTAGTTAAAAGGGATCCAATGTGCTTTTAAAAGTTTTGCTCTCGTGTCATTTTCATTATTCACTTACAAGATCTTGCCATAATTATCCTTGACCAAGTTGCTCAGTAAAGTGTTTAAATTAAAATAGTTCACTTGTCCTGTCACTTCATATCCTATACATATTTACTGTGTTACATACAGTAAATAAACTAAATTTTGTATATCATAGTGGATAATTATCAACCTGGTTCTGATGTAAATGTTCATTAAGGTAATTATTAATAAATAATTTGGGTAGATCATATTCATTTATAATTAATTTTAATGAACTGCATACAATTTTTAAAATTTTAAACTTAGTGTATTGTTATTGACCACTGTTTGAACCAAGCAGTTTGTCAGATCAAGCTGAGCAGTTGTGCTGTAGGTATGTTTATTACAATGGAAATTATATGTGTCTGTATCTACCCACAGACCACAATATAGCATTTCTTCCTTTAGGTTAGGCCTACTAGGCAGATAGGAACACTTTGTTATTATAGTGGCAAGGTTTCTGTTCAAGGAATCCATGTTTATGTATCACTTCAAAGCTTACTGAAGAGGAGTTTACCATATTAATTGATGTAATGGAAATTGAAAATTAGATATTAAAAGTTATTTATAGGCATTCTCTAGTTTTTTAAACATAGAAGGTTATTTATTACAGATGTTTGTTCCAGACAACATATTTTTGATGTTTATAGCTGGTTTTACATTTTATTTCAACAAAGCCAGTTATCATTAGGATTAACCTATATATTAGTTTTTGTTTATTTTTTTAATGCAAAGGTTTTTTTAATGCAATGATTCTGAAGCACCCAGTCTCTACACTGGTGCAGGGTACTGATAATGCTTTTTCTGTCTAAAGAAATATGCAATATATACCATAAAGAGTGTCCTAATTAAAAGGATGAAAGATTTATAGTGTTGACAAATTTGGAGCAAGGTGCTATATTAACACAAGGTGATAAAAACATCTCATTAAAATTATACATGTAATATTCTTATAAAGCCTTCTACTTTTGATTTGTTCAGAAGATGTCAGTGCTAGAAGTAAACACGATTTGCCTGCGGCATCGATTTATATTTAAACAAAATTATAGTGAAATTCTCCCCTGCTTTTTGTGAGGGGAAAGGGTTGATCAGTGTGTGTAACTCTTCAGCTAGCCAGGTAGTGTAGTTTGTTCAAAGTTCATCTTTCCTGTAGCCATGGTAATTTAAGTGAATTATTGTAGTTCTCACTATTCCTTAGACTTCATTAAAAAGGGGTCATGTCTTATTGGGGAAATAACAACATTCAGCAAAACTAGAGGGGAGATTTGGCTTTAACAAGTTGCTCTCATTTTCTCTTAGGGACTGAGATGAAGTGACCTAAAACAGTCAACTGTATTTTTAAAGAGAAGCTATGCCAAAATCTTGAAGTAATAATATGTTCCTATCAGTTTTATACAGTCTTCTTCTTATATATTATAAACAATTTCCCCCTTTTAAACTCCATTTGGCAGTTTAAATGGAAAGTTTATGTGTCTTTAATGCCAAATGTGCAGAATTTTTAAGGCAACAAAATCTAATATAATATTTAGTACTAGTAACTATAGGGCATGTATGCTTATCCTATCACCTAATTTAATTTGATTATTTTTTTCTATCGTTTTCTTATTTGCTAAATAAAAGTTTCTTTAGATAAATATAAAAGTTCCATTTACTAATTATCAAGCACTTTTTGATTCTTGGGAAGACAATAAGAACATGAGCATAGCTTTCTAATGCTTGTTGTTATGAAATTTTTCATGTGTAATAGTTTTAAAATGCCTAACTTTTGATGGAAGTTTTTTGTAAAAATTCTCTGCCTAATTTTTAATTATGTTTTTCATTTATATGAAAGCACTTTTTATTTCATCTCTATTCCTGTCTTCCAGACTTACAAATACTAAAATTTCTTTCAGTACTCAAATGTAGATCTTTCAACTTTATGCCTGGAGGGGTCAGACCTTATTCTACTCAGAAAAAAAGAAAGTATATTAAATAAAAATCAAAGGCTATACTTTGAAGTTACTGATTAAAATCTGTGATTGAATTATAAATATAGACAGCTGTTTTAAGATGAATATTCTTTCTTTCTTCCTCTCCTCACCATATTTAATTTTTGCTTGAATTTTCCATTTATTTTAGTTGTCTTCTTTTCATTTTATGCTTTACTCAGAAAATAGGGACTAACTAGTATCATGGCTATGCTAAGTTAATATGTCATCCAGTTGAAAGTTTTTATAAAAATGCCTGGATTAAGATGTTGAGACCAGTTACAGCTACTATGTTGAACCCTATAGTTTAGTGTTGGGTTTAATGGATTTGGAAGTCTTACTTACTCCTTTCCACCAACCTAATAAGAATGGTTGATTGACCTAAACATACAGCTTGTTAGGGCACTAATTAATTACTATTCTTTGATATACTGTTCAAGAAATTACAAATTTATTATCTCAATGACATCATATATATGGTTATATTCATCCAGTCAGTACACAATCTTTTACATAAAGTAAACATAAAATAAACTATGGTTGTGTTCATATTTTGAAACCAAAAGATAAGGATTAATTTTCTGGAAGCATAATCTTACTTCTTTATAGTTCTATTTATTGCCAATTGTCGTCCTCTTTCTTTCCTAAGAGGTCAGCTGTGCAATGCTTACCTTTCACTTGTCAAAAGTAACAGAGTACATTCCTTTCCTCCATATATATATATATATATATATATATATATATATATGATACTCCAAATTGGATGTTGTCTTATTTCGCCATATGACTATTATCAAGTGCAGAGAGAATTAAAAAAATGGTTGTCTGAAAGACCATTAAGCTCTTTATCCTCCAACATTTTGCTAATCTAACCACAATGATTCCAGAATCACAGGATTCCTGCAGCTTTCTCATATACTTGGTTTGTTTTAATTTCATTTCTTGCACTTAAATGTGATTACGTTTTTGACTCAGTATGATCTTAATTTTATAATTAAGACTCTTCACCAATTGACCGTGGCCAATTTGAACTTCACTTTTAATATTGATATAATTATTTACCTTCCTTTACAAAAATAAAATCCACAAATGAATATCTACATTTTTAAAAAGCCCTGTTCTTCTGACCATCACCTAGAGCATTAGTCAAAATACTCAAGGGGTCTAAGGCAGAGTACCTCAGAATGCTCAGGAGCTAGGTCTTGTATTGGTTTGTGAGTTCTTTATATAGATTCATTATATGCTTAAAATTAGCACAGCTCCTATTTATTCTAGCGTTTCCTTCTCTGACACAAGTATCCTAATTCTCTAATAAGTATAGAACTTGGGTTCTTTTAAAAATATATAATTATCATTCTTTTAAAAATAGTAGTAATATATTTTGTTTTATTTTTTATTTTTTATTTTTAATGTGATTCCTGAAAAGTAAAGGTTGGCTTGTGCTCAGGGAAGAAAAAGTGAACAAAAATCAGGGGCATAAAGACCCACAAATAAACAGCAGTAGGTAAGAACACATGATAAAGAGAGGAGGAAAAAGTATTCGATAGATTGGAGAGTGTTTGGTGAGTAGGAGGAAATGTGCAAGTAGGGTTACAAAGCCTCAGTTATTATAAATGCCACAAAAGGCCCTCAAGGAACTAATAAAGCTGCTCTTTCATTTGAATTGTATGAAAGCCTCACATAATCTATTATAAGCTAAGTTACATTGCATTCTATAAGAAATGTTCTTTTTATAAAATCGAACATTTTTTTGTGTTAATTGTATCAGCA